TGTTTGGTGTTTTCTGCAGTGATTACCATGCCATAGGCTACGGAGGTCTTTTCCAGGTAATCCGCCAGAGTGGCTGACGGATTCCTCTCCTTTACCTCCTGCTTAGATGGCACATCAACCTGATTGTGAGGAAGTTCTTGCACTGTTGAAGGTTCCTTTTCTTGGGAAGGGTTTGTGACCAGCGATTGTGTCCATGATGTGGCCCATTCTCCTGTCTGCCAGAACTTGTTACAGATTGATTTGGGGGCCGTTATCATGGTTTCTCCTCCTGCTTAGAACAGCTCCTCTTGAATATTGTCTACTCCTACTGTGTCTTAAGCAATTTTACATCTGCTTGTACTTGATTGCTCACGCAAAATTGCACAGTTGGCTGTACACAGAGGTACATGAACCCCGTCACGTGCCTTTTTTGAACGTAACAAGTTTTGTCTCGTAATTTTGAACCCCTTGTTCCATGTAGACGGTGTAATCTGGAACCCTTAAGGGGATCGCTGTACCGAATAATGTAAACAATTCTGCTGTCTATATCAGAGGAAGTCTTTATAAGGAAGCCATAAGTCAATTTTTGTCAAACGTATGATGCGTTTTCTATGCTGATAAAGGGTAATTTTCAAGACTAACAATTTGAAAAGTAATCAGCTTGCTGATTTGAGAAGGCAAACTAGACCTCAACCTAAAACAAGCTAAATGTGAATATCTCTTTCAGGGTCATATTTTGGTGATGGAATATTCGCAAGAGCAACTGAACTACTTTAGACTCTGTTACGTGGCATTTAATGTAGTTCCAGTAGGACTGAGGCAGATTTTCAAAAAAGAATGGGATGTTCGGTACAAGACAACTCCACTTGGAGAATGGAAAGATACAGCAAAAAATGGTTGGGATTTCTACAACAACGAATCCGCAGCAAGCCAAAGAAAAAATTCTCGATGTCTAGCCACAATACAGAATGGTAACAGGGCAAATTGGGACTGTACCTGTTTGTTTTTTGCCATCCTGTACTCAGACAGCATTGGCACCAGCTTAAGTCCAGCTGTCTATAATGAGATCGATGATGTTCGTCAGGTGCGAAACGAGATCGCCTTTATCACTGAGGTTACACTGACAGATGCCGACTTCCAAGCTTGCGTAGATAGAGTGTTGAATGCTTGAAGATACTTAAAAAAACTGCCTACTGACTGTTGTTCTTTAATATACACGCAAGAGAGATTACACACTAATGTTTCCTAGATTCAGAAACTCACATCCCCGTGGGGAGGACTCCGCATATTAAAGGAGTGGGGATGCTCGTCGGAAATTTTGAATTAAATCCCTAAAGGAGACCGATGTGGGCGTGGCCCAACTTTTTTTGAGCCCTAAAAGAGACCAAAAAAATATACATATCAAATATATATTTTTATATTTTTTCGCGTGAAACCCTAAACGAGACTTCACAGCTAAATATGATGGTGTTTTGCCCAGAACACCCTAAGTGAGACCAAAATCCGAAATTTACATCCCTAAGCGAGACGACGAGCATCCCCACCCCTTTCATATGCCGAGTCCCCCCCCCCCCCCCCCCCCCCCCCCCCCCCCCCCCCCGGCCGGGCCCCACCCAACGCCGGCACCGGACGCACGAGGGCAAACAACAGGGGACGGGGCAGCAACAAAATCCCCCACGGCGGTCGCGGAGACAAGAATATTGCTCGCGCTTATTTTTTCTTTTACAACTCTCTAACAGCCGGGCGGGAGGACGGGTCTCGGAGATTCCCCCCCCCCCCCCCGGGCTCACATCAGACGCGCAGAGCGGCTACACTAGCGAGTACTGGACATGACTGACGCGAGCAACACAGTGGCAGCCGGGTCAAAATATGCTCTTCCGTACGGTGTGTCGAAATATTAGATCTGCCCTGGTTTAATTATTAAACGTACACTTTGAACAGGCGAGTGTGGAGTGTACGCATTAGTGAAGTAGTGTCAGACTTGATTAGTTTTTGTTTATATTAAGTGACATCAAATGAGAAGCTATGAGAGGCATGACAAAGGTGACAGCGACACTCTTACAAAAGGATATCGTTTTCTTTTTCATATTCATTACCGGTGGTCCCTTTTTTGACCTTTTTGGTTTCTTGTGCTCGTATTAACGAGGAGATGTTGTAAAGAAGTAATACTGTGTCCGTTGCCACATTAGCCTGTTAGCGTGGGAGTGCTGTTTTCGCGGCGGAGCCGCTGGAAGAGTGGGTACAAGTCATTTTGAAATCCCGCCTGGCACAATTCTTGGGTGTTTTGAAAAGTCCGCAAACTGGCTTACGGAAGTTTCTAATTGGCTGAGTAGCGATAAAACGCCAATCAAATGATAATGGATATCTCTCAAGTATCTCTACTATCTCCCAAGGGAAAGTTAGTACGTTCATGTGGAAATGAAATAAAATTTAAGTTGCAACATGCCGTTGTTTTTGTCTGTGACTTGATTGTTACCCTTGGCCTGGCTCGTTTGCAGGTCAGTTTCGTATTACACCACTCTTCCCGATTGGTTAATCAAATAGTTCCAACCAAGGTGACAAAAAGTGGGCGGCAAGAAAGTACTCCGGGCACAAGAATCCCGCCAGCTACGCAGGCTATGGCCACATAGACGTAGCCTGTTTCGGGCGTTCAGATCGCGGGGACGACTCGAAGAGATGTGAGCAGGAAAAACAGCCGGGGGGAGGGGAGGGGACTATCTGAACGCCAGGAACAAGCTAACATTGACGGGATAGTGTTGTACTGGCAACCTCGATGCCAATAAAACACGGATCATGACAAGTTCTCATCTTTGTATAGCACAGCTGTGGTAACCTTTTCCCGATATTTTTTTTAATGCCGACGTAGTAAATGCTCAAAGTGGGGGAAGTATACTCTCTAAAAAAATCCAGTCGAGCCACTTAAAAGACCCACCTTTCTAATCGGCTGCGTGCGTCCCTGAGCTGTGCCACTCCTCTATTAAGCACCTTAAGGTCAAAGTTCAACGCTTTATGGTTGAACAGGTCAATTGGTCTGAGGAGCAATGCAGTGGAAATTTTCTAAATTTGTTAACATCTGCAAGGACCACACTTACGTTCACGGACGAAGCCACTCTGAATATTGTTCACAAAAATATCAATTAACCATTACTTACGTCTGGAAAAAGGGGAAAATGCGAAACACTTAGTGCATTTACCAACGGAATTTTGTGAATTTGGCCTTTGAGGCGAATCTTTGCTCATAGCTGGTTACATAGTTAGTAGAGGAAAACAATGGTGCTGTAGGTTATGTTGGAAGCTCCCTGATTGTGCACAATCCTTTGTTTTTTGGTTAACAAATTGTGACTTAATAATTTAATGCAATGTCACTGTTGGTCAGTAAGTTCTAAATGATAGGAATGCTATTGAACGTTGCGCACGGTTAGGGACTGGTCAAAAAGTATAGGGGGGGGGGGGGGGGGGCCGGGGCAGGGGGGGGGGGGGTAAGGGGGTTTTGGGCCTTGTGCAAGGGGGGGGTGGGGCAATTTGCAGCTACCCTTGGGGGGGGGGGATGGGAGGGGC